TGGCCAGGCGGCCAGCTCTAGGAAGTCTTGCTGGTTCCAAACTTCTTCCATTTAAGAATGATGGATGCCACTGTGTTCTTGGGGACCTTCAATGCTGCAGAATTGTTTTGGTACCCTTCCCCAGATCTTTGGCCACGACACAATCCTGTCTCGGAGCTCTACGGACAATTGCTTCAAACTCACGGCTTGGTTTTTGCTCTGACATGCGCTGTCAACTGTGGGACCTTATATAGACAGGTGTGTGCCTTTCCAAATCATGTCCAATCAATTGAATTTACCACAGGTGGACTCCAATAAAGGTTGTAGAAACATCTCAAGGATGCTCAATGGAAACAGGATGCACCCGAGCTCAATTTCGCATCTCATAGCAAAGGGTCTGAATACTTATGTAAATAAGGTATGTTTTTTTTTCTTCAAATTTTTTTAACCTGTTTTCACTTTGTCATTATGGGGTAGTGTGTGTAGATTGCTGAGGACCTTCTTTAAAAAAAATGTAATTCAATCCATTTTAGAATGAGGCTATAACGTAACTGTGGAAAAAGTAAAGGGGTCTGAACACTTTCCGAAGGCACTGTATGTACAGTAAGAAATCCTTTTTAGCCATAACCATTTTCCCTCAGGTCAACCATATACGCTTTAAAAGTGTCAAAACGTATAACTGTCTACGTTTTGAGACTTCCGTGAAGTAAAATGACTCCAGAATTGATGTATGGTTGAAAATATATTTCAAATATTATCTTTATTCATTCTATGATAGATGTACACCACTTGAGACTGTGATAAAAGCACACAAAGGCTATGGACTGAAATCTGGTCAGAGACATTTGGAACCTTAGAGTTAAAAACAGATAAAAATATTAGACGTGTTATTTTTAATAAAGCAGAAAGTTACAGGGGAAAGAGGAGAAGAAGGTATGTGCCACGTTGACTTCTTGTCATTGCTATTGATGTTTTATTCTGTACAGAGGACAATTTTGTACTAAATTAATCTAGATAACACTACATAAAACAAAGTAATTCATATGTACAATATTAAATGAAGCCACATAGTACAGATCACATACAAAAAGGACACTTGTTAAGTTATTCTACTTTGGAAAGTACATGTTCAACTAAAAACCTGCAGCGGCCAAGCCAAGAATTCAGAAAAACAGTCACCAAAACATTTTTTTGTGTCTAACTTGTCATACAAGTCGTTTATCTGTGTGTGTGTGTTCAAGAAAACAAACCATGACAGTTTGAACACAAATAAAAAGAAAACTGATCAAACATCTTTCCAAACAATACTGTTATATAAAATATGTTTTTTTAGGATCAAAAATTGTTTTGGCGAGTGCCATTCGTCCAGGAAAAAAAGATACATGTTTAAATGGTAGTTAAATGAACACCTTTTTGCATTTAAGAAAGTATTAATAATGCAGTTACCAAGCCAAGCCTGGATGTCGGTCTTTCAGCATTGGCCATTTCCATTGGCAACTACAATGCTAACACCAGCATCCAGGCTACCAGTTGCCTGGGACTAGACAACAGAAAATACATTACAGATTGGATACGCATGCTAGATTTGCAAGTTCAAACAATGGTACCAGAGAAAGACTAACATTTACAAGGAGGCAATCAAATCAAATTGTATTCGTCACATGCTTCGTAAACAACAGGTGTGCACTAACAGTTGTTAGCAATTTATTTTATTATTCGACAACACAGACCCCAAAGCAAATCAGGGGGAGAAAAATATATTTATTCAAAGTGAACAAATCCTAGTTGTTATGCTGGAAAGTGGATGGTAGATGTTAATTCTTCCCCGTTCTCATTGTTTCTCCACAGAACAAAGAGACAGGATGTAGTTTAGACCCAAGCCTAGCCTGTGGTTGATCAATTAGAATTCATTGCAGTAAAATTGGGCCAATGTCCAAAATGCAAAGTATCCCGTTTCAGCTTCAACGTATAGATACTTTGGACCAATGAGAACTTGCCACACATAGCTATGAGTCCCGGACTGGAACCCCTACACAGATTCTAAACTGAAAAACAACCCGTGTCCCTGACCCATTAATCCTCAGTTCCCCATGACAGAAAAACAACTAGTTCCATTGATCTTAAGTTCTCTGCGTTGTGTATTTATCTTTGAATATTCTTACAGTGAAATGCTTACTTATGAGCCCTTTCCTTGTCCAATCCAGGAATGGACAGCTTCCTGACTTGAGAAGGCAGAACAGACTGTACATATAGACTCAACAGGATACTGAAGAAAGCTTCATTGAAGATACACAAACACGTCACATCTTTCAAGTTTTCAGGAAGTGCTTTTTAGGTAGTACAATAGACTTATTCTTAACGGTTACAGATTTCATCCAAAGAGGGAGTCAGGTGTGAAATCACCTCTTTCTCGTCCTCTTACTGCTCAGTCTCTACGTTCTCTATGTGAATGTGCCTGTGAATCAGTATATTATGAGCAATGGACACATATGCTCATTCAACTGTCACATTAAATGTTTTTGACATCCAAACAGTGTTGCCATTCTCATCGAGGCCAATAATAATAATAATGTAATATTCCTCCACACGATAAACGGCTCTCTGATGTCTTCCCGAAGTTAAGATCTTTCTGTTCCTTACTTCACACAAGACAAGTAACAGTCCTCTCAGCGCCA